TTCTACAACTTTTTTTTGTTTGTTTATTAAATATTATTTATAAAAAACACTCTAGAAATACTGGAAAATTCTAGAGTGAAAAATGAACATGTTACGACTCAAAAAACAAGCAGCACTTGTAGTGCTATTACTTTCGCCGGTGACTGTATCTAAAGTTATAAAAGACTTATCAAATTTATAGAATAATTTAAAAATTATTAATGGAAAACCTAGACATTCACAATCTCAAAGATTAGTTAAAAAAAATAACTGTGAAATTGATAAATTACTTAGAAAGTGGATAAAAGTAAATAATAGTATAAAATGGAATTTTAGTTTAAGATTAATTTTATTGGTAATGAATACTATTATTAATCATATTACTAATGAACCTTCTTATTAATTAGTTTTTAGAAATAAACCTAAAAGTAATTTAGGATTTTACATGCTTTATAATAGGTTAATTCAATTTTATTGAAGAAAATATTCCTAAAAATATATCTATTGAACTTTATTTTTAATTATTAAGCTTATTATAAAATTAAATATATAATTATACAATTTTATAAAATATTAATGATAATACAGATAGATACAATAGCATCACTTTTTTAGAAAATAAATTTGCTAATAATATAAATTAATTTAATATTAAATATTTTTTTTAAAAAAAAATAATTAATAATTTTAATTTATATTTTAATTATCTTTTAAAATATTAATGAATCAAATATGAATAATACAAATAATTCTTCTAAAAGTAATTCAGATTCTTTAGATTCTTATTCTGAAAATAATTCAGATTCTTCAGATTCTTATTCTAAAAATAATTCAGATTTTTCAGATACTTCTTCTAAAAAAAAAAATAAAAATAATAATAATTTAAGTATTAAATCTTTAATTATATTACTAGTAAGTTTATTAATTATAATAATTAATTATTTTTACTTATTCTAATATTATATTATAATTTATTTAAAGCAACCTAAAGCTAGATCTATAAAATAGATAAATTCTGAATCATTATTTGATTATAATCAAGAGTAGATATACTATGAAAAGAAATTAAAAATTCATGAAAAAGATATTTTAGAATATCAAATGTATTAGATTTTGGTATAACAAAAAAACTATAAAAGATTTATTAAGAGATTTATCAAAATTATACACAAATGAAACATAATCTATACATAAATTAAATAAATAAAATAAATTTTAAATATTGGTTAATCTTATTTGATTCTACAGATGTAGAGATATAAATAAATATATATTAAATATAATAAGTTTGATTAATTTATTATTAATTATATTTATTATTAATAGGAAAGATCTTCAAAAATTAATAATAATAACAAAAATAAGGTAATTTTTATAATTTAATATATTTTTTAATATTATTTATAAATTTTATATAATTTATTTTAGAATTTAATTAAAATTGATTTAAATAATGAATTTAATAATAAATAGGAGGGTAATTATTTATTAATTTTAATATATATTATATTTTTTAATATTCTTTATCAATTTTATATAATTAATATTTTAGAAATTAATTAAAATTAATTCTAATAATGAATCTAATAATGAACAAGAAATAATTATTTATTAATTTTAATATATATTATATTTTTTAATATTATTTATCAATTTTATATATTAATATTTTAGAAATTAATTGTAATTAATTCTAATGATGAATCTAATAATGAACAAGAGATAATTATTTATTAATTTAATATATAATATATTTTTTAATATTATTTATCAATTTTATATAATTGAAATTTTAGAAATTAACTGAAATTGATTTTAATGATGAATCTAATAATAAACAAGAGGTAATTATTTATTAATTTTAATATACATTATATTTTTTAATATTATTTATCAATTTATATAATTTATATTTTTAGAAATTAACTGTAGTTAATTTTAATGATAAATCTAATAATGAACAAAAGGTAATTTTTTATTAATTTAATATATATTATATTTTTAATATTATTTATCAATTTTATATAATTGATAATTTTAGAAATTAACTAAAATTGATTCTAATGATGAATCTAATAATGAGCATAAGGTATTATTTATTAATTTTAATATATATTACATTTTAAATTCTATATATAAATTTATTATATAATTAAAACTAATTTAATTATTAATTTGATAAAGATTTATAGAAATAAAGTCAGAAAAATTTAATACTTATTGAGATAATATGAAAAATATATGAAATCAAAACAATAAAATTCTTTGAAATTTAAACTTGAAGATATAGTAAATTTAAAAATTCTAGTAAAAGATCATTTTATAACTAATAGACCTAATATATCTTGTAAAATTATTTAAAGGTTATATAATAATTATTATAAATTGGGTTACAAATCTGGAATTTTGAATATTAGTTATAATAAAAGTAATTTAGAATTTATTTCATTAAATAATTTAGCTTCAAGATTATAAAGTATATAAGAAATTGAAATTTCTGATATAAGTATGAAAAACTTTTTGCATTACATTTAATTGCATTTGCAAAAAAAATAAAAATATTGTAATGTAAATTATTATTTAGATGAAGATTATAATAATTCACTAATGTAAAGTTTATTTATACTTTATTTATAATTTAAATAATAAAATAAAGTTTTATAAATATAAATATTAAGTATAAATTTACTATTATTTATTTTAAATAAAAAATAAAATACAAGGTTATAATTTAATAAATTCAAATAATATAATTATTAAGAATGGTCTAAATAAGTCTGAATTAGTCTTTTGAAATATTTTAAATGCTGATTTGAAATCTAAAATAAATATTTAGAACATTATCTGAAGTGTGCATTTGGAATATTATCTAAAATGAGTATTTGAAATATATGCGTGTTTAGAACAAACAAATATTCTAAAATAATCTTTGCATTTGAGATATTCTAAATATGCATTTCAAATATTAACACATTTGAGATACAATAGGTATAATAATATTACTAGGTTTTTTTATTTTAATTTTTTATGTATTATTATTTAATTAATAATAGATTTTTTTATTTAAAATTTTATGTTTTTCTTATTTTAAAAGTATTTATTTTAAATATTTTTTATTTTTCATAATAAATTTTAAATTTATATTATACAGTCAAAGCTTTTTATAATGAACCTAATATTTCAATGATTTTTGTTTATTATAAAATAAGTTTATTATATAAAATTTATATTATATAATGAATTATTTATTATAGAAAGAGTTTATTATATAATATTTATATTATATAATAAATGTTCATTATAAATTAACTAATAAAATGTTATTATATAGGAGGCAGTTAATAGAAAAGAGAGAAATCTACAAATTTTGAATAATTTTAATTATTAAGCTAATTTTATTTACATGACCATGATCAGCAAAGTGAACCAATAAAAAATTTTTGACTAAAAAGTGGATTTCTCTCTTTTTACTGACTGCTTGTCATATTATTATAATATATAAATATAATTTTATATAGATTATATACAATATATTTATTTATTATTATAGTATATTATATAATTATTATATTATATTATTATTTAATTTGAAAATCATAAAAATTAAATTATTTAAGATTTTTAATAATTTTTAATTTAATACATTTATATAAACCTTTTAAAATTCTTAATTATTCATTTATCTCACTAAAATTCTAATTCTTATTCATATAAAAATCCTGTAAGATTATTTATAGATTTTTTAGCTTTTTTTAAACTACCTTTTTTTAATATAGGTTCAGGTTCATTTTTATCTCTTATAATTTCCTCTTCTTTATCTGCATTTAATATAAAATCAATTATTTTTTCATTAGTAAATACACTTTCTACTATTTTATCTTTAATATTAATATATTCCTTTACTCTAAATTTATCATTTTTAAAAGAAGAGTAATTAATCTTTTAAGTTTTTCTTTTTCTTCTTTTTCATTAAAATAATATTATTAAAAAATATTTAAATTAATATTAGTAATTAATACATACTTATTATCAAAGATTAAATTATCTTCTTTAATTTTACCACTTAGTGAAAGAATTTCTGTTTTTTTCTAGCAATTTGAAATTGTTTGAGAAAATACCATTAACCATACTTTAGCTGATTTTGTAAAGCTTTTAAATATTATAATTAGTAAGTTTATCAACAATATCATCTTGTATTATCATATGCATCAATTTGATTTTGAATAAAAATCATTGTAATAAAATTTAAATAAATAAATTATTCTAGCATCATATGGTTAAAGTTTAGTAATAATATTTAGTAGAAGAAATTTCACATTAATGCAATCTAATTTTTCTTTAGTTTCATTTAAAATAAAATGTTATTTAGTAAAAGTATAATCTTATATCATTATTATTTTATTTTTTATTGAGTTTAAGAAAAATTTCATTAAAAATACTGATTTGTATTCAAGATTTTTTATTTCAAAAATAATAAACAGAAAATTTTTATAATTAAGATTTTTTATAGTATAAGGAGTTTTATGTTTATGAATAAATAATAGAGTTATTTTTTAGTTCCTGTAGTATTTGTTACATAGAATATAGTAACTCTAAATTTTTCTTTTTTATGACCAGATAAAGAATTATGTATTAAGACTTTAGAAGACTCTATTTTTCAAAAAAGTCCAGTTTCATCACTATTCCAAATATCTTTAAGATCATAAAATTTAAAAAATTGCTGCAAAGTAAGACAGTCATTTTCTATTAACTCATCAGAAGGTACACTTAAGGCTTCACATTTTTTTATATTAATGTAATCTATATCATTTTTTAAAACTACTTAACTAACCATCTAACTGATAAAAATCTTTAATAGAAAACCTTTCTGCAAAAAATGCTACTTTAATCTTTAAAATATTACTATTAATATCTTATTTTGTATTTATATTTAAAGCATTATTAACTTAAAGACCAAGTGTATTTTCAAGTTAAGATTACTTTAGATCACAAAAATTTTAATATTTTCTTGATCTTCTGAAATTGCTAGCCTATATTTCTTATTATTTAAAATATCAATGACTGTTGATTTGCTAATATTATATTTTATGCAAGACTAATTAATTTTAAAAAGATTTAGTTTTCTTTCTTTTATTTTACAAATTTCTCATTTTATATAACAGAAAGTATAGTTCTTTTTTTTGTTAATATTTAAAAGAATTATAAATAAATAATTGATAAAAAAAGAATATTTAAAATATTTTCATGTAATAATCATTGATAATCAATGTTATAATATTTATGATAATTTTATTATTCTAATTTATAATTGATATTTTTATAAAAATACATAAAAAAAAATATTTTCTTTTCCTATTTTACCTTTGATATATAAGTCAATTCATCTAAAAAGCTCAATATTCTTACAAAAAAAAAAGAAGAAACATTAAGATTATTTCTTATTAAAAACAAAATATTTCTTTTTCCTCTTTTAAAAAAATATTTACTCTTATCTATTTATCAAATCCAGTTTGTTTAAGAAATCTAACATTCTTACAAAATAGAAAAAAAGAAATATTAATACTGTTTCTTAATTAAATACAAAAAAATTTTCTTTATCTTTTAAAAAATAATATTTTTCTTACTTATTTATTAAGTCTAATTTGTTCAAAAAGCTCAGAATCCTTACAAAAAAAAAGAAAAGTTAAGAAAATTTCTTAATTAAAATAAAATTTTCACCTTTTTTAAAAAAATATTACCTTTATCTGGTTGTTAATATGATACCTTTTACTTGTTATAGCAATACAATCAGGTATATATCAAAATTTTCTTTTTTTATTATTTATTACTAGTAATTCTACCTGATAATACCCTGAGTTTTAAGAACAATAAATTCAGTATATTAAAAATTATAATTAATATTATTATAAGTAAATATTAATAAGTTAGTCAAAGATCAATATTAAAATTTTTTAATTTATAATTTTTTTAAAAATTACAAATTTTTAGCTTATAAGTAACCTTAAATTATTTATTATATAATTAAAAAATAAAATTTATTATAATATTATATATATTTATAAAATTAATTTAAAAAAAAAATTTTTTAAAAATTTTAATTTTTCATAAAAGTAAATCAAAAGGAAATTTATAGTAAATAAGCAAGTAAATTTGGCTGCAAACCTTTACAATTTAAAGGATAATAAAAAAAATTAAAAATTAAAAAAAAAAGATTAGAGAAAAAAAACTAAATTTAAAAAATTAAAAAATGATAAAAATAAAAATGATCGGAAGATAAAAAAAATAAAAATAAAAAGTTTAGAGGGGATAAAAAGCTATAATATAAAAAATAAAAATAAATAAGAAGAAAAATAAAAAAAATTAATAAATTAAAAATTAAAAAGATGAAAGGAGAATAAAAAAATATAAAAAAAAAATTAAAAAATTAAAAATTAAAAAGATCGAGATAAATAAAAATTAAAAATTTAAAAAAAAAGATCAGTTAGATAAAAAAAATTAAAATTAAAAAAATCAAATATTAAATAGAAAAGAATATTTTAGATATTTTTATATTAAAAGAATTATATAATAATAATTTTAAAATATAAAAATCAAATTTTATATAATAGATAATACCTAGAAAAAGATTATTTAAGCGACAGAGTTATCACATTTTAACTTGATCTAGTTTTAAAAAAAGGGATGATCTAAAAAAAGTGTAATATAAAAAATACAATATAACATAAGATATTTTGAAAAATCATTTAATCACTTCAAGAAATTTATCTATTTGATTCAGCTTGAAAGAATATGTCTAAAAAAACTTTATCAAGACATTTAATAATGAAAGAAATGATCTAAAAGTTATTAAAAAATAAAAATAAAAAATTAATTAATAAAATAATAATAATATAATAAATATAAAGCCTTGTCACAGCAGATCTGGCAATTGAACTGATACTTTATGAATCTGAAAAAAATAAAAATAATAAATAAAATAATTAGTAATTAAAAAGAATAATGTAAAAAAAGAAAAGATAGAGAAAAAAAACTAAAGGTTAAAATAATATCCAATCACTGCAATTTAAAACAATGAATAAAATAAAATAGTATAAAGATTATTAGAAAAATTATCAGCTAAAGTGATTTTTAATCTTTCTAAGTAATAAGAAATTTAATAAATATATTTTATATTATAAATATCATTATCGTCTAAATATAATAGCAGTCATAAGTATCTGACTACTAATATTTTTTAAAATTAGTAATAATATCCATTAAAATTTTTCAAAATTTAAGTTCAATACTAATGTTGATCACATATAAAATTATAGATTTGTATCATGTATAATTTAGAAGT